CCCGGCTGCTTCCCGTTCTTCCTGCTCGGGAAGCGGCTGGCCTGGCTCTAACCTCTCACCTTGCGGCAGCTCCCGGGCCCAGGGCTCCCTTCCCAGACGGATCCACACGGTCTCTCTGCCACTCTTGGGATGCGACTGCCTGGACCGGACCATTGGTTTGACAAACTCAAGACACATGAGGTTCTTTTTAAACCTTTAAACCTTTTAAACGTGCTGGGTAATTGCACACATTGCCCATAGAGGCATCTTAGCATCCACAAACACCTTGGAAATGCAAGCGGAAAGGGTATGTTTAGTTAAGATTGGAGGTTTGGAAGCTTTTGGTGCATCAATAAAACTCTCCACAGCTACAGAACAATTTTTTTCTGTGTTAATTTAATCATACAAATATTCATTTATACATTAAGGAAGAAGCTTCCTTTTCATTCTTTACCCCCCGTGCGCTACCCGCAGGGCTTCCCCGGCCGCGGCAGCAGAGCGCCCTGCTCCGCGCAGGCCGGTCCGCACAACCACCCACTCACTCACACAAGGAAGGAGAACGGAACCGCGGAGCCCAGGGCAGCAGCAGGACCGCGCGCCCCTCGCATCCCGCATCCCGGCCCTCCGGGGGCTCCCGTCCCGCCAGGCTGCTCCGTCCCGGTACGCGGTGCTCCGACCCGTCCGGACCGGACCGGGCGGTCGGGCGACACGGGGGACAACATCGGCTCCACCAGGCTCCAAGGCTCAAAGGGCTTCTGCTTGACGCGTGGATCCGCTTTGGAGACGACGGCGAGCGGAGGATGTGGCTTTTCTGCCCCTTCTGCAGAGCTCTGGGCATACACGTGTCCTCTGCCGCTGCTTCACCAGTCCCAAGGCAGTTGTTTCCCTCCGCTTCCAGCAGGCCGAGGACTCCAACGCGCTCAGCCGAGCTCCCCGATCCGCTCCCCGCACACGGAGCCATTCAGTGCCCTGAAGAACCAGCTCCTGTCCCCGAGCCCGCGGCATCGGGCAGGCCCGGGCAACCGCAGCGCCCTGAAGTCACCCGCAAAAAGCTTTTCTTAGGGCCGCTCGATGTGTGGAAAGGTGGGAACCTGACAGCGACAGCAACCTGGGGCCGGCTGCACCACAAGAAACTAGAGGAGACGAAACTACCTTTGGCCTCTGCGAAACGGCTCTGCCTAGAGGAAGGGCCCAGACAGGGAGCGGAGCCACCGGTTTGAGCCTTCTCCCCGCGGGATGCACAACCCTCAGCTCCACGGGTCCCCTGCAGCGACGGCTCCCGCGGCCACGCAGCCACCCGGGAGCACCACGCGAGCTTTTTGGAGCCGGCCCGGCGAGCGGGAACGCGCGCGTGGACGGGGGGCACACGCGGCTTCTTCCGAGGACAGGATTCGGTTTGAGCAGGAGGCGGGAGCGCAAGCGCAGAGCCATTCCCGAGGGAGGAGCGCGTGCTGGGAGCACAAAGCTGGCACGGGGGGATCCGAGGGTCTCCGGGCCGCTGCAGCGCACCCCGACTGCCTCTTCCCCCTTTTTTCCCTTAGCAGCTGCTGAAAGGAGCCAAGGAGGACAAGGAAGGGCCCTGTCGCTCGGATGAACAGCAGCCTCCGCGGGTGTGAGCGTTTCCAGCCGGGAAGCAGCGGTGTTCGAGGAGGTCGGGTGTGTTTTCATGCTGCAGAGCTGGTCACCGCAGCCGGCTGCCCACGGAGGGAGCAGAGAAAGAATCCACTTGCCCGTGCAAGGAGAGTGCAAACCATTCCTGGACTCGGTTACTGAGAGAAAACAGCTTTTCTGGGGCAAAAGGACGTTCCCAGGACAGGAGCCAAGCAGTACAGCTGCACTAGCCAGTGCAGCACCACCTTCCACGCTTACATTTCAGAGCAGCTCCCTCGGCTCCAGCAAACTGCCCTGCTTGCCAAACCACGTGCGGAGCGGGCCAGGCCGCCCTCCTGGAGGTAACGTCTTGCATTGAACCTGGTGCTCCCTGCAGAAAAATCCGCAGGGAGACTGCCGATAACACGGTGACCTTTAGCGACCAAACCTCCAAATGCAAACAGCGTCTATCAGCTCTTTCCATGAACTAACAGCAAGCAGCTCTCCTGCCCGGAGCTACAAACTCTAAGTGTTTTCCCCAAAGTCCAGTCTCTCCCTCTGCTCGATATGAAGGAACTGCCCCTGCCCGCTTCAAGATCCACCTGTGTGCACTAGTAGGAAAAACAGTCCTCAAAAATGAATCCCTGCTTCAAATCATCCAAGAAAAAACAATCCATTGGGAATGAGCAGCCCGAGGCCATGCAGCAGGGCCGCGCTCTGCTCCTAGGAAGGAGACCGCGCTGGAAGCCTTGGAAAGAAGGTGTCTTCAGGGGCTTTGCATATTGCTGATCTTTGGCAGTTGGCTGTTCTGGCCTTGTTCGAGCATCCAAAAGAGCCAGGGTCCCGTCCCCTCCTCACGCAGGGGTCACTTGCTGCAGGAGCAGCCCGTGGCCGAGCACCGACTCCTCCGAACGCAGCCCTGGGGAGCCCGCGGGGAAGGCGGGAGCCTCGCGAAAGCTACGAGCTGCTGCGATAAAGGCAAATGAAGACAAGGCGACGCAGAATCCAGCGGCTGACACTAACTCCTGCTCTACATTCAAAAATGCAATGAATTAGCCTCCATTTGCTAAGCTAATACTTTATCACCGGAGAAATGAATTGAAACTTATTCCGCGTGAGAGAGGCAGGGATGGCAGATCCAAAACTAAAGGGACAGGACTTAGGGAAAGCTGCACAACTACTGTCAAGTGAATTATGCCTACAGAAAGAGAGTTTCCTCTTGGCACGAGACTGATACGCTTGCTTGGTTGTTCTAGGCACAGCTACTGTACAGCGTTAACAAAAAAGTTCTTGTAAAATGCTAACCACAGAGGACAGCTCGGGAGCTTTAATAAATCTCTCCTGCTAATACAGGTGCCTATTTATGAGCACTTCATGTACACGGGGAGGGAAAGGAGCTCTCCATGTTACCTCCAGGCAGCCCAGAGTTCTCTAGCTGTGACACGGAGCCCCTGCTTCAGCACCGTTCCCAGGGACGAGCGGGACAACCAACAGCAACACCCAAACCAAAAGGAAAAAAAGAATTAACACAAGATTAAAAAGGTGGAACTAAAACCAGCAGGTGCCATTAAAAGGAGGAGCTGGGTGAAGACCCACTCTCACTAAAAATGTCCAACAGAAACAAGTCACTGCACAAACCCCAGAAGAGGCTGAACAAACTCCCACTCGGCAGCAAGCAAAACATGACAGTTCCATAAAAATGCACGCTGTCCCTTATTTTAAAAAAATATGAACAGGAAACAAACAAAAATGAAACATTTGCTCAAACTACAACCGCTCTGTAGGCAAAATACTCTTTTTCTCAAAGATGGCTTTTTCATTTTAATTTTTAAAAATTTAAGCTACCTAATTATGTGAGAATGACTTCTAAAATAAAAAAAACAAAACAAGGTGTTGGTGTATTTTCTTTCTCATAGCATTAAACAACACTCCTGAAACTCAGCATTCACACATGCATACTTAGATTTTGCATTTTCCTCTGGAAAGAGCTAGTCTTAAGTTACTGGGTTTTGTTTTGTTTTCTTCTTTATCCAGGATGCGGAGGCAGAGGAGGGGGCTCCACGTTGTCTGTCTGCCACGTGAATCCCCCTCCCTTCCCCATTAGTCAGTTCTTTGTTAAATTCTCCTCTTGTCGATACCCGTTTTTTTGTGTGTTTTAAGACTGTCCGAAGGGATAAGGACCGTGGAAACCCTGAAAGAAAGTTGGAGACATAATCAATGTCAATAGGCAAGCAATAAAACCAATCAGTGTATGCCCCACAACAGTGTCTGCCCACAAATCCTGACCACCCTCCCAGTGCTTCCAAATGAAACCCTCTCCCCACCACGGGGGTCACCTCTGCGGTCCAGCCATAGGAAAGACCCTTGAGACACAGGGCCCAGAGCCCACGGCTGGTCTCCTTGGAGAACCACTTACCTCTTCTGGCTGTTCTTTAGGCCAGACAACAGCCAGAAAAAAACTGTTTATTGGGACTGTTACACATGGCTGTTTGGGAGGTCTTCCACAGCAGAGGAGCAACCCCCTATAGATGCTACGGTACTTGTGAGGCCGAGCAGGGAGTTTCCCCAGTCTATACCATGCAGGAAGCATGAGTGAAAGGATGGAAACACTGCAAGAGTCTATTTTAAAAAGAGTGGTTTGAAATCCTTGTTCCCACTTGCCACTTCATCAAGGCAAGGATATGCTTTTTCTTCTAGCAAAAACCAACCACACTCAATCAGAAACATTAAAATACTTAACTACGACTACACAATCCTTCCCCTCTACCTTGTCAGGTGAAGGACCTCAATGCCAGATGTAGTGACAGGTTCCAGATCAACAGGAACACCCTTCTGTAAGTCCTTACGTTCGATTGACCCATCGAGTATTTCATCAAGGAGCAAAAGAAAGAGCGAAAGGAAGGCGAGAGATGCAAGTCACAGAGATACAAAGTTTGACACAACAGATGAAGACACCACACAAAACGCTCCAAGATCCAGCTCAAAGCAAGAGGAGGGAAGAGCTCATTAGCTTTCGTTAGCAAAGCTGCAAGAAAACCTGACAACTGCTTTTCTGAGCAGCCCCAACCCTGTGCAAAACCCACATTCAAGTGTTCTATGAACGTTGCAGAATCAGTAAGTGCTAGAGGAGCTGACAGTGCTGCTGCAGCTCGTGAGAAAAGGCTGCACGCCCGGGGATTTGTTGTACAACAGCACGGGGCAATAGGGAGACTGAGCACCTCCAGAATCACTCAAAACCCAGCACGGGGCAAGGACTAACAGACTATTAAGCAAGACATCTGCACACGGAGTGCAAAATATAGAAAAAAAAAAGTGTTTCTACTTTAGGAAGCAGATCCAGCAGATCCCAGAAGGAGAGTTTGGCTCTGAAAGCAGCCAGTTCCCACTAAAAGGGAGAACATTTCTGAAAAAGCCACTGGAACGGCAAGAGCAGCAGAGACAGCGCACTTAAACAATGCACACGGGCAAGCGGGATCACCAACGAAAACCACGGGACACACATGGAGAACAGCGTTCAAAAACGTCGGAAACAAGATCCCAAGCGGCCTCGTCTCCCCGCGCCGGGGCTGCTGCAGCTCCGCACGGGAGGACCGGGATTTGCTGCCGATGCTGCAGGGCCGGGGGCCAGGATTATTCGCTCCGTGTTTGAGCCGCGGCGAGGGCAGCGCCATCAGCTTCCTCGCGCCCGGTGTCACCGCACGTCGCTCACACGTCGCACGCACCGGGACACCCTCCGAGGGCCGCGTTGCCAGTGAGAAAACCTTCCCCCGGGTCTTCCCAGATCATTTGCTGCCGAATCGAATCCAAAGCTTCCCCGCTACTGCTACGTTAATTAAAGGCAGCTTTGAGCTCCCCTTTGGTGTCGGCTTAGGTTTGTAGCACGTGGCACCTGCAGCTGAGCTGCTCCCACCGCAGCAACCCAGGACAACCGGGATGTGGCTCAAGGGAGCTTCTCTTGACACGGTGAATTCCCCCAAAAAGCAGCTGGGGATTATCATATGCAACGCAGGACACTCAGGAACTCTGCTTTGCATCTCGTTTACCCATGAGATTTATTACTGTACATAGGAACTTACGGAATTTTTAGAAATTCATTTCCTTTAAGATCAAGAGCAGATTTGGTTTTACATAATATTCAACCTGTCTAAAAAGGCACCGATCTGCATAGGGGGAAAAATGTTTAAACTAACATTTCATTTCAGGTGTTTGTATTGACCTGCCCTTCCTGCAACAGCCCTGAGTAAGAAACCCTCAACTACCTCTGTAAACTGAGAACACTTTTCGTGCTCTTCTGCACCTGACCCAGCTCAGACTGCAGCTCCTGCAGCAGCAATTGTTCCCGACACGTTTGCACAGTGTAGCAGTGTCTTGATATCCGACAGCTTTTGCTATTTGTGCTGCAGCAGTAGATCTCCACCATGGGGCCTTGCCAAGAATCATCATCCCAGTATGCAGGTCTTTACACCATAATGTGAGAAAAACCTACATACAAGTGTAGTTTTTCTGAACTATTTCAGCTGAAGAATCTCACTACTTTTGGCAATTTCCCTTCTATTCTCAAAGCAAGATCACTGTTTTCAAGAGAAGCTCAGCTGCAGCTTTGCAAATTTACTTTTAGTTCTTCCATTACCTTCCACAGCAGTGATTGCTACCTTGCTACTGAAAACACACTGGATATTCAGACACATAAACACATGAGAAGAGAGGATCACGTTCTTCAAGAGCAGACTCCACATGAGAATTATTGATATCATCATTTGACTGCAGTGTCCAAAAGGAATTGGAGAGCTTCTGGAAAGTTCAAGGCCTTTGCAAATGCCGGGCTCTTTCCACACCTTCAGAGCAGGCACCGGGGTCAGGAGGAAGGAGCAACCCGCAGAGCAAAACCACTCTGTGCTCACCACACGGAATATACATATATATGTGTGTGTGTGTGTGTTTGTGTGTGTATGTGTGTGTGTATATATATATATATATATATATATATTCCATTTCTGCAGACGAGGGCCTGCAGATCAAACCAGCGTCCCCCCTCGCTGTCCCAACAGCGTGGTTGTCACACAGACCCTTTTGAGCCGCCACTGGAATAGAAGCAAGCTCAGCTCCCCGGCTGGGATTCTCCCGGCCACACAGCGGCCCCTCCGCTAACTCTCATCTCAGCTGAACACAGACAGAACCACAGATCCAGCGGGTTATTTTTTTGGTTAATTCCACGCATGCCGGGCAAACATGGGGTGGCAACGAAGGGCACCGCCTCAGCAAGCAGCCGCTCCGGCAGCTGGTTGAGACGCAAGAACCGATGAGATACGGGAGGGTTCACGGTTACGTTACCATGCAGCAACCTGGCTCTTGTAACTTAATCAACCATTTAGTGTGCGGGGATACAGGAGGAGGGAAACTGTCGGGCTACGGTGGAGCAAAGTTAAGCTAAAAATCACATTATCGCACATTTCCCGCAGTCCAGGAGCACGTGGACTACTGGTTTTCAAGGTTGAGCTAACATGCAGCATCCAAGCACGTTAGTCTTTTGCCAAAAAAGCAGAGCAGCTCACGCAGCACCAGCTCAGGCTGCAGCACCCATGCGGCAGGGCGGCTGTCAAAGAGCAGCTACGGCAGCTTTGAGTCCTGACTTGCTCCCACTTTGCTGGAAACGAGTTTAACCACGTGGTAACTAGCCCAGCTTAAAGCCCAGATACTGGGATAGGAGGGCCTCTTCTACAGGGAAGCTATGGGAAAAGAAAAAAGAGTGATTAAAAACATATTTCTGAGGCATCGTCCTTACTCCGAATGTGTTTTGGTGCCTAAACAGTCACTGGTGGAAAAACAACCTGTCTCAGCTCTGCAGAGGTACTCCCAAAACCCACAAATCCAGGGCCCTCATTTGGAAGAAGCATCTCAGAGCAGCAGCAACTTTTAAAGTCAGCTGAGAGGCCAGTTAAAGGCTTAAAAGACAGAGGGATTTTCCCTTAAAGAAAACTGTCAAGTAGTAGGAAACAGAATTCAGCTGCACACAGCATGAAATAAGGTGGGGAGCATAAATGCAGCAGGCAAGGATGCTAAGAACTTTGCGAACTCCATACAGGTTTATTTTTCAAGGGGCTTTTAAGAATATTATGAGCAATGAATATTAATAGGTTAATATCTACCAAACCCTGAAATGTCCTTTATGGCAGTGACTATTTTGTATAGGTAAATCCTTGCAAAATCAGAGCTTCCACAAACAGCTTTCTATAGGCACCAGAAAGCAGCACTTCCTCAGTGCAGATGAGAAGACAACTGCATTCCCCAATAGATTTAAATCGTTTCTTTTAATGCAGGTGATAGGTACATGCTGGATGTCCACGCACGGCAATCTGCTTCAGCCCTTCTTAGAGGCACCAAAACCTGAAGATTTCGTTTCTTAGTTGAGAAATGTAACTCCCCAGACACCAGGCGACTGCATCTTGTGCTTTTAATGTAAGAGACAGTCACAGGAGAGCAGCAGGGACCTTGACAATGTCACTATGAGACAGCAGCAAGTCAATAGAAGGAAGCTGTATTAGCCACGTGTCTCTTGAGAATACAGAGAGAAGGTGGTTGCCAAACAGGAGAATAAAACACCCATGCGTGGCTGTGTGTGAGCTCTAATGCAGCTCGTTCCTGTCCCGAGACAAGCACTATGCCGCACTTAAGTGTACATTTAATTCTAAGAACATGCAAAAAACTGTCCTGGGAATGGATATAAGAACATGCTTAAACAATGCCTTGAACACAGACCCTGATCTGAAGGTGGTTGCCAAACAGGAGAATAAAACACCCATGCGTGGCTGTGTGTGAGCTCTAATGCAGCTCGTTCCTGTCCCGAGACAAGCACTATGCCGCACTTAAGTGTACGTTTAATTCTAAGAACATGCAAAAAACTGTTCTGGGAATGAACATGCTTAAACGATGCCTTGAATACAGACCCTGATCTGGTTCTCCAGAACGTTACTGATAAGGGGTGGGCCCAGGGAACCACACGCTGGAGCAGGAATAAAAGTCCCTTCCAACTTGCTTTGACTAGGTCACAGGTTTAATCTTATCTTTTTGCAGGGAACTCAGTGCTGTTTTCTCATTCTTTTTAAGAATGCTTATTTCACTGAGCACAGCATCCACATCACATTCTCTACTTCTGTAGAAAAGCCTTCTGAATGTTTCACACGCAAAACACTAATATCCCTGTCTAATTCAGCAGCAGATGGCACGTCGGTGTCAGAAATGCAGATGCCACTGGGGAATTTCAGAGGACAAGTCACACCTGCTCAGCTGAACCAGAGAGAGAACTAACACACACGGTTTGGCAGCTTCTGGCCTGTTTTACAGCTGCAATTTACCACTGGCTCCTATGGTGCCAGAAACCACTAGTTTTGTCTCAAAAATGCTATGGTCTCGTGCAACTGCATGACTGGGTTTCTCTGAGATCTCTTGGCAGAAAGGAAACCCCAGCAATGATGTGAGGAACATTTAAGGGCTCGTAGGGGCGGAGGGAGCGGCCGGAGCGGAGGGGGAGAGGCAGCTGCTACAAGGGGGAGCCGAACGGCAGCTGCTGCCCTGGTGGGTTAGGACTCCTAAGGCCACCCCAGGAAGCCCTTCTCTGGTTAACCCGAGACATCCATCTGGGGATATTGGTTACACATCTTCCCTTTGCAGCAGAAAAAAAAAAGGAAAACTTCTTTTTCAGAACTTCCAGCTTGCAGGAAGAAGGCATGCAGCAGGGCTAGATCCGAGCAACCGGAGGTGAGCGTGTTCAGCCGGCCACATGGAAGGAGAGCAAGTGTTCAGGAGATCAAGGCCACCCCAACCTTTCACTCGCAAGAAACCAGCCACGAGTGTCAATGTGAGCAGCAGCTGCACGGCCGGACTCGTCCTGCCCTGGACGGGCCGGGCAAGGCAGACCGGCCGGGCAAAGCACCTTGACCTCCAGAACTACCTTAGTCACGGCCCCTACAGCAAAAACTGCTCCTCTTTTGTCACCAATAGGAACCCTGCGGTAGAGACAGAAATCTCAACAAATGGAGCAGCCTCTACCACCTCCACCTCCTCTCCAAAAACGACTGAATTACCCCTTCTGAAGAAAGAGAACAACATTTCAGCTTGTCTCAGAAAATCTACTCAAAACCATCCTCAAATGCTCTGCAAATACAAAAAGGAACAAGGAGCAAGAGAAAGGAGGTCACCTACCCTACACCTCAGGCTAGTTTACAGTGACTCACAGCATAACAGCACTGAGTGAGAACTTGGAGTTATTACAGCCTGCATAAACATCGTGAAATTATCTTCTCTTGGTGCTTCACTCTCCTCTGGGCTTTCCTTCTCTATGGCACAGCTGACATTTGCTCTGCACCTCCAGCAGGTACAGGTTGCTTACACCTGTGTTCCCTGAAAAAAAATTCTTAAGTTCCTGTGGAACTTTTGGTGCTTCAGTTTGTGGCCATTACCTCTAGTTCTATCAGTGGCCACCAAAAGAGGCCGCCCCATCCTCCTCACTGCCTCCCTTGAGGTACTTCTAGACACTGCTCAGGTCCCCTCTCAGCCTTCTCTTCTCCAGCTGAACAGGCCCAGCTCCCTCAGCCTCTCCTCATAGGGCAGATGTTCCAGGCCCCTGATCATCCTCGTAGCCCTGCGCTGGACTCTCTCCAGCAGCTCCACATCCCTCTTGTCCTGTGGAGCCCAGAACTGGACACAATACACAATACTCCAGAAATACAGTGCCCTAATCCCCCTTGGCAGCTCTGCCAACGCGCCTGACCCTCGAGCACATGCAGCGCTCAGTGCGCTAGGAAGGGCACTGGAATCCACTGCAAGGGGAGAGCCAGTGGAAACCGAAGGCCCTGCTGTGCCCAAACCCACCCCCAGCATTTCTGGACAAGCCCCGCTGCGGGCAGCGCGTGTGTCCATCCACCTGCAAACACAAACGTGCTCCGGAGCAACTGCCGGGAGCGGAGCCCACGGCAAACGGGAGAGTGGGGAAAAAAGGCAAATTCAGCCCAGAGCTTTACATCCACATCGGGCCTGAATACTCCTACCTAAATCACACCCAGCACTTGAGCTGTGAGAGGCTGTATTTCAGCAGTGAAAGGCTACTTAATCCACTAGCTCACCAAAACGACTCGATTTTGTCCCGCAGGTTTCTCACGGCCTGCCGCACCAAGAGGGCTGTTCCCAGCCTCGCTGGCCTGCCCGGCACGCAGCTCTCCCCACACGAAGCACCTGAGATCCTTTTTACCGGAGAGGAGCCGCATCAACAAACACCCTGCTGCCCACAGGCGCCGGCTGAACGGCAGCGCTCCCGGGCGCTGCGGATTCAGCGGGCAGAGGGGCTCCGTTTCCACCCATTTCCCAAGCCGTTCAGCTGATCTTCAGGAACTGAGAACCTCGGAGCGGGAGCCTTACAGGAGTTGATGTCTGAAGTGCAAAACATGAACGGGGTGATTGGTAGTCTGCCAAACAAGTCATTCCCACGCATGCCATCAGGAAAAACCTAAAAATGCAGAGCCCTGGTGCAAAGTAGGACACTAAAATATGATCCACTGGTACAGGACAGGCAGGTTATCCAGTTAGGAACTATAGTGCTGTAGGTGAACTAATATTAGGGCTTTATTAAGTCATTCAGCAACCAAGTGTTATTGTCCTACACAGCCTGCTTAAAGTACAGTAAAGCGTTTTTAAAGGATTTAAAATCAAACTAGTTTGACATATGACAGTACACACCTACACATACCGGTTGCATTAACAGGTGGATTCTGAATTGTAAATAATCCTGCAATTCAATTTTCACACACAAGCAAATAAAAACAGTCAAAATATCACTCAGACTCATATAGCATCCATCAAGCAAGCTTTTTGAGAGAGATTTAAAGGATAATTTAAAAGCCACCTACAATTATAAACAAGACAAGGACACAGACAGGAACAATCCTTTGATTGACTGTTCCTGACGGATAGATTTTGGGAGCAAAATGTCAAGCTCTGTAGTCTCCCCAGACCACTTAAAAAGAAGTTGTCTGATTCATCTTCAGTTTTGGGAGGGGTGGTCTTTTTTTTTAAAGCCTTTTTAAATGTTAAATTTGGAGCACAGCTAGAGAGATATTTTGACTTATTTGCAGATGTAACTGGAGTAGGCTCCAGCCACTAAGAGTTACAGCACCCAGACAAGATTATATAAACTTTAAGGATTTGAAGCAAAAACAAAAAAAAAAAAAGGTGAATCTGGTAGAGTCTATCAGAGGCAAAGGTATTTTAATGTAACATGAGGAGTTGGCAGAGTCAGACAGTCAAATTCGAAACCTTCCTTAGCAGGTCTGGCAGAAGCAGAAGGGAAGGGCTTTGCAGTTTGTAACGAAGAACTATTACACACAGAGCACAGTCTCATCACCTACCCATTCTCCTGTTCTCCCAGGGCACCTACCTTACTGTACGTCACTACCGACAAGTTGTTCGAGTGACTGCTGGGGGAGAGATTTACAGAGTTTTGTGACAGTCCATTCTGATCTTGTTCAATTTGGTCAGGAGCAGGCCCCCATGTGTTTTTGCTGATTGTGCCTAGCTCGGAACCCCCAGGGTCTTTTAGGTTGTTTTCATCTGGTTGCCTGTTCTTCTGTGGAGAGGCGAATGGGTTAAAGTTTCCTTCTACCTTGCGATGCGGTTGTGTGTTGAACTCTGTCTCAAAGGATGACAGCTGCTGTGTTACTCCTAGAAGTCCTCCAACCTCCACGCTGAGGATCACCCAGATGACATCTAGGGAAAGGGAAGGACATTCAGGTCATCACTGGATGGAGCTTATGGAGAAGGGGAGAGAAGGGGAAAAACCGAACAGGGATTCCATCCTTTACAATGGCAGGACAAAGAGGAAAATGAGAGAAAAAAACGTTTAGAGAAACTAATTAAAAACATGAAAAAAAAAAAAACAAATTGCCATGATAATGTGCAACTCCGTACTTCAGATTGTCAATGTTTTCTTGTAAAAGAAAACTTTAAGCAACTTTATCCAAGGGAGCACTGCAAAACTGAGAGCCCAAGAAATACCACTCACAAATGTCTGCTCTAGGGGTAAAAGCCAGAGTTTTTTGTTCAGCTTTGTTGTTTTTCAGTAGCCAAACCTTTTAAAAGAGTCACTTAAAAGGCAGTTAGTCTATGACAATTCACTCTGAAACAACATTTTGATTCCAGTTCCATAAAAAACATTTTAGGTGGACTAAACTACCTTTGGGATATTACTGTATGAACTTTCAACCTACTAGATAGAATAACAACTATATGAACGGAGAAAATATTTACAGCTCTTACCTATGCTTATCTGTGCCCTGTACATAAATACAATTATTTTAGTTACCGTTTCATTTACACCACATGCAAAAAGTGTGGCTTATTTACATAAATGCTTGACTTGTATCCAAATTCAGTTTTACTGCCCTTTTTCCCCCTCCATTAAATGCACTTATGTTTTGTTTTGCTGCATGGAGAGGAAGAATTCCAAACTGCAATACCTCTTCTCATCTCAGCAGATGTAGTAACAGCGCCTTGCGCCACATGGAATTGAGTTTCCACGTTTTCTGCAGGTAACGTTCTCCCACAAGGAGCTGCTTTGTGCTGCTGATGCCGCTGGCCCAAGGAAAGGAGATGGCCGGGTCTTTGGCCATTTTTTTTTAATTTATCTTTTTTATCTCTATTACTTTTATTGCTGGGGGAGCAGACTTAATTCCCAAAGCCCCCCTTCCCTTCGCTTGTCAGGTTAACAAGGCTGCCCTCATCCGTTGTCACTTTGCCAGGCAATTCAAGACAGGAGGACACAGCCTTGAAAAAACAATCGCAGTGGCTGAGGACCCCCCAAACGCTGGCGAGGTTGGAATCCCTCGGGAAAGGCCCGCGGCTCCCAAATGCGCAGGGAGGCAGCGGCGCGGCCAGGCAG